AGGGCATTCAAGGTTACAACGGAAATTCAACTCGTGATATTTTTATGCTTTCTGTTATAGTGCGGGCTGCATTTCATAGTTAAGTTGGTTCGTGAAAGCCTTACAAGCTACTCTTTAATCTAACCCCGAGAATGATGGGTCTTGTTTTTTATTTGTGATGACAAATGGTTATGAAAAAACAGTTACAAAAGTCTTGAATGAATTATGCGGTTATTAAAAATATACTCGAAAAGGAACGATTTCAAAAGCTTCTGGTTATCAAATCCCAACCATATTGATTTTATGATTATTATATTTTTATCAAGAAGATATTATGTAATTTTGATGATCTAATTCCGCTAACAGATCATTTTATTCGTCGTAACATTTTTTTTTCTCCGTGAAAACTAATTTGGTAACCTTATTTTTAGATATATTGTGACTTTAAAAACGAAATGGAATACTTAACAAGATAATTTTAAAGGGTCGACGTTAAGCCCTAGAATATTAAAATTCTTAACAAGCTTTTGTTTATTCCTTTGTAATGTTTATTTTATTCATTTCTTATTTAAATATTTTTACAAAAATCTCAGCTATTGTGAAAATTAACGTGTATCTATTGGGATTGTACTATTTGCTGTGTAGGATTATGAATTGTCATCATTTCTAGTCTGGAATAGGAATTAGCTGGAATAATTACGAAATAAATTTGTATTTTTCATTATTATCCCGTGCTTGTTTTTGTAAAATGCACAATCAGGTCTATTCGTATCTAAGGTTTGTTGGTTTTGAAAAGGCATATGGTCTGAAGGGTATGCCAAAAACATGCTCCTCCATCTTTCAGCATCTTTTTAAAGCGGGTGCTCTGTAAATTTAAAAAAAAAAATCAAATAAAGCAGGCTTTTGTTTCTGATTTTAATCTTAAACCTCAAAACTGAAAGGTTTTGAAATTTGATAATAAAAAATTGAAACCATGGCAATAAGTTAGTCTCAAAAGAATGTAAAACACCTTTCAGATAATCAACAGTTAACACGACCAAACATTTCACGGAACAGCCCGGTTATCCTCAAAAATGATGGAACACTTCATCACTCCTCAGGTACCCCTTCAATTTATTAAAAATTTATTAAATATAAACGGTTCATGCTTGGATTTCAGCAAATGAAAAAAAGGTTTTCGTTGAAAGGCAAGACTATTAACAAACCCACTAGTCCGATATGACGGTTAAAACATTTGACTGGAAAAAACACAGTCAAAATGTATATTTGTTACGATAGTAGTAGGAAAGCGGTGTTATTATTTTATGGGTTCAGCCCTTTGTACTTCATTCTTCGAACACTTAAGCCTACTTTCAAAACTGACAAAAATTGACTATTTATTTTACTTAATTAAGGCAATAAATTCATTGACTAAACGACTATCGTCCATTAACGTTTCTGTTACTTTTACGATCCTTTTTGTAGGTCGAGTATGAATTCTTTTAAGACACAACATTAATTTCTTAAAAGCTACTTTGTTGTTTTTATTTTAATCATAAAACTTATAAATCGTATGTAACGGTTTTTTTTACAATTTTTTTCTGTTGTTTCTTTTTTAATTTATTTGTCATGAGCAATTATGTTATTTTTTATAAGGTTTTTTTATAAGATCCAAGCCGAAAAAAATTGTTTGTTGTATATTGTCATTTGATCAAGATAGTTTTTGACTCGACCAGGTCGGCGTCCCATCGATTTTCGCGTGCAGTGCTGCACGCTTTTCGTTCTACAGCATGCTCTCGTTAACAGCAGTTTTTAAGTGATTCAAAGCCTTTGAATTTTGAAATTGATGATTCAGAGACTAGAAATAACAAGGAAGTATGTATTTAAAAAATTAATTGTAATGTAAAAAAAGTTCAACTTGTGTCAGTTAAATTTTTTAAGGCCATAAAATAAACTACCATAGGATTGGATTAGTTTCCTAGAATGTTTTCTGGCCATTAGCCTATATATTTGTTTACAATCGTTAAGTTCATGTCTTAGCGTGCTTTCCATCACCTAAAGCTTATCGTGCGGAATTTTCAAGCCAGTTGATATCAGATGTGTACTCCTATTTATTGGTTAAGGGTTGGTTAGGGGCTTTGTATACTTGACAAAAAGTTAAGTTCGATGGTCAAAAGAGGGCTTCGGCGTTCTACGAGAAGAAAGTAAGGCATTAAGGGAAGAAACCAGACACCTCTGTGAAGAATTGCCTACAATAAAGAATATATGGGAGAAATAAAACAATTTTATGGAGGAAATGGATTATACTTATCGGCGTTCTAATCTTATATGTGTGTGCCTAAAATTGTCCAGCGAGACTGACCTAACCAAATTGGTTATTGATTGTTGTAAACAAACTCTACCTGTAAATTTGGATGAAATATGTCTACATGTGACCCCCCCTGGGAAGAATGGACGATCAAGATAGGCCTTTACTTGTTTCTTTTACGTTTCAAAATGATAAATTTAGATTATTCGGGCTGCGAACATTTTTAAGAACACTGGCTACGCCGTTCAGCAAGATCTTCCTACCAACATGAGACGAAATAGATCCAAATTGTTAGCAATTGGAAGAGATACTCCGTGTCAGAGATGGAATTGAAATATCAGTTTTTAAGGATTCTATCAAATTATTAAATCACTAATTTAAATTGAGTCCTACACGATGACAATTCGGGCGGCGTTCAGAAACTTAATGAGCAGCTGGAGGATGACTTTCCAAAGTTTGTTTGTTTATTAAAGGTTGAAAATACAAAACAGAAGATCAATGTAACGTAAGCATGATTATATCCCACTCTCTGTCAGATATTATCTAAAAATAAGGAATTTTGTTATTCGTTTAGTATTGTATCTTATAATGATAATGATCTTAATAGTAAAATAAACAATTTTATGTTTGTTAATTTTTTTAAATGTGTTGATGTGTTCATTGTATAGAAACATTTATAACGGAAGATAAATTTAATTACCTACTTTAGTGAGGTTTTTTGGAGAGTATAAATTAAAGTGGGTTCCAGCATTAAGAAATTATAAATTTGGTCGTTCCAAGGGTGGGGGGGGGCTCAATGCTTTTATGAAAAACAACAGGTATGCTTTTTTGTTGGTTAAGACTATAGGTACAATAGTTAAAAGTTAATTGATGGATTTTTTCCGCGGGTTTTACTCTAGTGATTGTACAACGAGCATAGGGCTGGCCCTAATGTAATAATGCACAAATGTTCCCATGCTTAATTTGGAAATAACTACCAGCACTGGAACTGTGAAGGGCGATGGAAATTATATATCATGGAAATAAGCAGGATGAGGCAAAACACCTCTCTTGCCTTGACGTTATCATGGCAGGCGCTTAACGGGTATAAGTTGCTTGACTGTACCTAATCGTCCTGAAATATTCTTTCTGGGTTTGGCTATCTTATTCCTATCTAAATGATTGGTTTGTGTGACTCGAAAACCGGCTCCTTAACTTACAGTAGGGACGTATTGTCCTCACTTTGTTTATAGCTAAACAACACAGTTACAACTGTAAAGCTACACAATCTTCACTTAGCATCACCGGCAGAGGTCACACCTCGGAGTGCGTTAGAGTGCAGGGCTGGTGGATCGGAATCCGGGACCTTTACCTTAAAGTGACGAGCGCCGTGTCAATGCCTTAACTATTGCGGCCACCGACTCTCCTCGGTATTATTTTTGCTCATCTATATAGTGATGTTGATGAAGAATACTAGGAAGTGGAGGTTGTATTCCCAGTCTTATTGTGTAGCATAGTTTCTTAGTTCAGTTCGACTTTCTTGACCATCTTATCAAGAGTCCCTTTATCTGGTCATCCTTGGTGTTCTATGTTATGTCCCCATTGATCGGTTATAATATGGCTGTTTCGTCCCCCTTGTTAAATAATTTACAAATGGAGTCATAATCGAATGTACTCTTATTGTACAGCTTTTTTAAGTTGTAGCCTGTCTATTTGTATCAATGTTTGGCTAAATTGGGATTCTTTGAAAATGAGGTTACTATGTCTAGTTTTGAGTTCGCCCATTTCTCCTTTTGTTTTCTGTTGGCCCATTCTGAAACGGAGGTATCTGGGTCTATGTTGGTCTTGCAGATCTTCCTCCGGCCGGTATGCATACTCATGTATAATTAATTGCTGTCTTGTGAAGAGATGTTTTTTGTTATATAACATCGGCCACAAGAGGTGTTGGAGGGTCCTAAAATCTCTTTAGTAACTCTGCTACAGTTAATGTGTCCTCATCCTCCAATGCCATTAATAAGTCGATGCATTTAAACTCGTTAGGACTTCTTTCATTCGACTCTTTATAATATTTTATGGCGTGAATATAATAAAACTGTAATTTTCTATGTGTAGAATAGTGAAACCACAAGATTTAGTATCGGAGCGACAGAACATGGTGACAGATAGTCCATTTTTTAACACCTTTTTTGAATTTCAACGTGTATTTTTCCTTTTCACTTGTCTCATTTCAATCATTTCAATTTGTAATGGAGATTCAGAACAGTACAGAATATGTTACGATTTTGTTTTGATTAATTCTTTTAAATATGGTTGTGTATTATTACAACTGGACTGTCCATGATGATTTTGTGTGGCAAGTATGCGGTCTTTGATTTTTGAACATGATAGAAATTGGATACAGCAAACATTGTCAGCCTGTAGATTATTATTTTAATATTACTTCCCAATACAAACATGCTCTAAAACAGGTCTGAGTAAATTTAGTTTAACCTAACGAGCCGTACATGACGGTGTGTTTATGTTCTGTACCGGAGGCTCTTTCTGTGGATGTATTGCATTACGCCAACAGGTCGGAAATAAAGCACGATGCGGGTGTAAAATAAAACATGATAATGAAATATAAACAATATTAATATTTAATGAAAATACAGGTGTAGTCGTTTGATTGAATTTTTTGACACGTATAAAACATATAGGATTACACCTTAGAGCATACGTATTTTAATATGCTTATGTTTTATCAATTTTGTTACAGATATTGCCATATACAGCTGTTGAATTTCGTCAGGTATCTGATGAATGCCGTAGCCCTTCAAGTTTCGCCTCGGAAGCATTCCTCCACGCCTGCTGACTTTTTCTTGATAAGAGAGGTAAGCCGTTTTATGCTCCCCGACATTTGTTTCTCTGTACGTTGTGTATGTTGTCGTTAAACGTTTTTTTTTTCATATAGCATAAATATATATATTTATAAATAGAAGAATCGATCCCATAAGATCATTTTGATGTACATAAATATTTGTTGCTTCTTCATTTTAAACTTCTATACATAATATACCAACGAAGTTATCTACTAGGGTTTATAATTATATAATATATTTTTTTGCTATATATATTGAATATATTGAAGAGTACTTAAGTTGGAGAAGAAATGGAATTTCTTTAATAACTCATTACATATTTTCTTGTTATCATATTGGCAGAGAGCGTCCAATCTTACCTACAAAATCTTATCATGAAAAAGCTTTATTAGCAAATATTTCCTTGAAAACATTGAAAACATTAAATTCCCAACTATTCGAAACTGTTAAAATCGCCAAGTTTAAATTTACTATCTTATTGATTATAAAATTCCTACTGCACCCCTAACGGTATCTCCCACTTGCACGATACCTGACCTAAATTGCTGCCTTCTTAAAACCGTGTTGACTTCATCTTTTTTTCCACGGTTGAACGGTTTTCGGTTGATTTACAATGTTTTCGAATATTTTGTAAACAAACTGGATCGTAATTGTTATAATTATTTTTAAGTCAACGAGGAGGGGACCAGTGGATATTGAAATCTGTAAAACATTTTTTTCTGAACGACTCTGCGCTCCTGGAACGGTCTTAGATTACAAACAATTTGTTGTTGGTGTTGGATTTAAAAATAACATTCATTCTCGCTGAAATGGGATGATGTTTTTATCATAGAATCACTCAATACCTTTTACTTTAATAACACAAGAAAAATCCATTATTGCCATGTCCGACCTAGTATTGCAAATAACAAAACGTTCAAATTATTTAGAAATGTATTTTCTGTTTTTAGTCTATGCTATTGGGCAATAAAATTTTAAAACTCTAGAAATTATTTGTAATGAACGTTGGAATAATTCTTTTCTCGGTCGAGTTTTGTATGGGTCATTTTCATATTCCTGAATACATGGCATCTTAACAAAATGAATTTTTGACTTAAAATAAAATTAGGGACTACTTACGTATTTCCCAACAGCTGTTTACCATCAAATCTTAGAACTTTTTACATTGGAAAATTAGAAAGGTAGTTCCATGTTAAGATCTTATTGAGCCTATCGCATTTGTTCTAAAAAATAAGAATGACTGTTTTATCACCATTCTTTCCTATTTAAAAGCCCTCAATGTTACAAATGTGTGCATTTTTTATGAGCTCTCAATTTTCAACTTAAAACTAAGTAACATTTCTTTGAAATGCTAGAACATCATTTTGTACTATTTTATTCCAATAAAAGCTGGTTTCGATTCTAAATATTGTTATGACGAATATTTGCCATTTAACTTAAAAAGCCCAAAATAATAATTTAGTGCTAATTCGTTATATCAAAAAATAGTCTAATTTTGAAAATTTTATATTAAAATGTTAGGGCTCATTTATCCGTCACTTTTGACTTAAAAGCTAGGAAGACTTACTTCTTTGCGTATGTTCTATTCAAAATGGTTTTAGTTTAAACGCTCAAACAATACATGTATTACAAAGCACTTGTTTAGTCAGTTTTGTTGTGAAACTTTTGTACTTTTTTTTTATTGTTTTAAGCTATTTTAATTTTAAATATCAAGATGTCTTTGCAGTATTTTTGTTAGGACTAAGCAGGATTATAATAAAGTTGCCTTACTTTTTAAATTTTTTTTTGGTCATGATAAATTGTTTGTCACAATGTCAATTGTTTGTCCTCTGGGTGATTAATACTTTCAGCCTATACAAAGCACCAGGAACGGATGGGATTTTTCCCATCCTGCAAAACGAGTGGATATAATCACTCCAACATTGATGCGATTATATCTATCAATCGCTGAAAGCTAAGGAGCTTAGCACTAGGTTAAATACCACAGACATGCCGTAGGGCAAACGCAGTGTTTATACCGAAACTGGGAGAAAGAGACCCTACACTGCCTAATCCTACAGACCAATCAGCTTAACATCCTTTCTACTAAAAACCCTTGAACAGCTGACAGACAACCGTATAAGTACGACAGCACTGGTAGATAAACTTCTCCATCACTGACAACATGCATACAGAGCAGTAAGATCAACAGAAACTGCATTGTACCAGCTAACTAGTGACCTAAAGGAAACACTGGAAACAAAGGAAATAGCAATCTGGCGTTCCTCGATATCGAGGGAGCCTTCGACAATGCATCTCATGCATCAATGAAGGTCTCCCTAGGGAAAAAACACGTAGACCAAACCACATCCAGATCGATTGGAGAAATGCTAAGAGCTAGAATAGCTGAAACAAATATAGGAACAGACATTACAGAAATTAGCACAACCAAGGGATGTCCTCAAGGAGGGGTGCTGTCACCTCTTCTATGGAGCCTAACAGTTGATGCTGCTCGAGACCCTTGACCGTACAAGGATAAAATGTCAGGGATATGCGGACGACATAGACCTGACTGCCAGGGAAAAATTCGAGGAAACTCTCTGTGATATAATACAAGAGGGTCTAAAAATCACAGAAGAATGGTGTAAAACCGCTGAATTAGGACACTATAGTTGCTTTTACACGGAAAAGGAAACTAGATCACACGAGGCAAATAACATTCAATAATACCGTGATAGAAATAAAAAAAGAAGTCAAATATCTGGTCATCAAACTAGATAAAACACTAACATTTAAGAAACACATTGGCTCTGCCATCACGAAGGCTACGCGAGCTTTGATGGTGTGCAGAAGAATAGCAGGAAGGAACTGGGGATGCAGACCGGAAACCCTGCTATGGAAGTAAGACTTTTACTAACATACGGAGCCATAGCCTGGGCTGACAAAGCAGAACAAGTAAGTAAAAGGAAAGAACTCACAAAAATACAGACATGCATGCGTCTGCATAACGGGAGCAATGAGAACATGTCCTACAATTAGCATGGAAAGAGTACTGGGATTAATCCCCCTACACCACATGGTAATAAGGACATCGCAGAAATCCATCATTAATTTTACCAAAGAGAAACCTCCAGCAGGAATAAAACTAAAATGGAGAGATAGCAACAAACTATGGAAAGATCATCCGATGCTGCAAAAGACGACATGAACAGGTTTGAATTTAATCAAAACTTCCAAATAAACCTAGGCACCAAAAAAGAATGGGAACGAGAAGGAAACACCTCTTACAAGAATGGCACCATCCTTTGGTACACATATGGATCTAGAACACAAGAAGGTACAGTTGGACCTGGAACCAAATACTCAGAACCCATGGGAAAATACACCAGTATCTTCCAAGCTGACATTCACGCAATCGAAAGATGTACCCAACTCAACCTAAGTAAAGGGTACAAAAACAAGAATATAGCTATCATATCAGCAGGCATCGAAGCACTAAGCTCAAATATCATTAGCTCAAGGATGGTGCTGAACTAAACCAAACTAAACACATTAGGTACGTAAAACAAAGTCAGCCTCTGCTGGGTCCCAGGACACATGGGAGTAAAAGGCAATGAGACAGCGGACACCCTTGCAAGGCAAGGAGCTGCTACACCGCTGACAGGACCTGAACCCTTCTGTGGCATAGGAACCCTCACTATTAACGAGAATCTCAGACAGAAGGACAAAAAGAAAATGAGGGAACTATAGAATTCACTCATTGGACACAGACAATCCAAGAATCTTCTAACCAATTTTGGAAGGAAAGAAATTACAGAATGTGTCAAGGGAAGCACGAATAAACTGCGACCTAACAGGACACTGCAAGTTAAATGGACACTTAAAGGAATAATCCAAAATGGCACATGCAGATTCTGCAAAGAGGCAGAAGAGACACCAACACATCTACTAACAAACTGTGAAGCTACACTAGCCCGCAGGAGGAAATGTTTTGGGATGTATAATGTAACCATAGAAGAGCTTCAACCCTGAAACCGGGCCTGTTAATCAAGTTTCTTGATGAAATAGGACTCACCGATGTGCTTTGGGCAGTGCACGGCGGATACAATAGCTCTTAAAGGGCGCAGTATACCATACCCTAAAATTACATCTACATCTACAACTTGAAAATGTTGTGTGTGGTTACATGAGAAACGTTCCGTCAATTTTTACGCGTAGTACCAACAAAATTTAAAAGCCAGTTTATAGATTTTTAAAATTTTTGATCTATAAGTATAACAACCATTTAGTTGGACTAATAGTTAATATGTTTGACCTTTTTTACCTTAAAAAAATTACAATTTTCTCTTACTTATTTATTATATTAGAGCGTTTCCCATAAAAAAATTGTTTGCCTACATCAAAAATGTTCTGCCTACTTATGACTTAGAACCAAGTTGCAACTTAATAAAATTTTGAAACATTTAACTTTAAAGTAATTACACCAGGTTGTTATATTTTTTATCAAAAAAACTTGGTTGTACAATATTAATTTAGTCGTTTAACTCGAATAGACCTTTAGAGCTTTACATGGTACATTTTCCATTATTTTTCCCTAAGAACCACCAAGAGATATTTTTGTTTTATAAAAAAAAACTTACCCTTAAATTTTTACTACTTTGACAAAAATCAATGGACAACTTTTTCTAATTTGTGGTATTATCATCTGAAAAGCGTATCTACTTTTTGTTTTGAAAAATTAGTTCACCTTTAAAATTTGAGCGTTTTGTACGAGACAAGCCCTTCACTTTTAGCCTAAAAAACAGAAATTACTTGCTTTATGTTCTACTACTAGAAACTGTTGTTTAACATAAATACTTAACGCTTTTGATAGGATGTTTTTCTTATTTTGTTAGCATAAAAGTAAGAAATGTTTTGTTGTAATAGTGAGTAGTTTAACTTTAAAATCTGAAGTATTTTTGTGAGAAATGTCCGTCACTTAAGGCCTTTTAAGGCCAATATTGTTGGTTAATTAAAACTTTTTAGGTGTTTCT